TTCATGGGCATATTGAGCAAATGAATCCAAATGCTTATCTACATGGGACAGAATTTACAGATTTCTCTATTCAAATACATCTCTAGAATGTATTTCCTTTTATCTGTGATCATCCTCATGCTTTGACTATTAACATGCTCTTTTTGAAAAATGTACCTTTGCAAGCAAAAAGATACAGTTTGTGAGAAAAGAGGGTTGTTTTCCTTTCCTTCTCCCATTATGCCCTCACCCCCTCAAAATATAAGATCTCCTTTATGAGATGAATGTAATTCTAATTGAAATTACATTAATGCATTAAAAGACAAACATAGCTCCTCAGTTTCACAAATCTTTATTTGCTTCATTTAATTAGACATTAACAAAATTTGTCCTGTTGACTCTTGAGCTTCAGAAAATTCAAAAAGCAGTATCTCTTCAAAAAAAATTTTTAGTATTTTTTTCCAATGTGATTCAAAAAGCAATTGAATAAGTAAAAAGGAAAAAAAAAATAAGCCACCTCTGTGATGTTGGTAGCTTTGGGGCTGGAAGACTGTCAAGAGGAGGGAGAACTAATAGCTCTAAATGGAAAGAAAAATGTATTTTTTAAAAGATTAAAAGCAGTATTTTGTGTTCAGATCACCTTCAAAAGCAATTAATGTAACTCAAAAATCCTAAGTAAATTATAGAAACCATAGCCTATGACACATATAGAAAGATGGGAAATAATAGCAACATTTCAGAAAGGAATAACTTCTTGTTTAAAAGCAATACCTGAAGTGTCAGAGCCCCATGAGTAAGTGTATTCTAGTGGGAGAAAAACTATGTACAGAAACAAGGGTTTTAGTTCTGGGTGACCCTAAGTGCAACATTTAGAACACCCAGACCTCATTTATATGATGACAGTAAGTTGTACCAAGTAACTGCTGGCATTATCCAGTGTTAAAGTTTAGTGATTATAAGGCAATGTCATACAGAAGTCCACATCCTGTTTATGTTTATGATGCTGCTTGATTTAGAAGCACTAAAGAAATTGCCGTGGTGAGATACTTCTGCTTCTCCCCACCAAATGTACATTTCTCCACCCCTTAACTACTGAGCCTTGAGAAAAGACATGGCCAATTTTATGGGTCATAGCTGAAATGCTCTAGGAACATTTCGCCAGGGCAAAATGCGTAATAAGTTCATGCATGGTAAGTCTTGCATTGTGTGATACCAGATGCTTGACTGGTTATTAATTAAAGTGGTACTCTATTATTGTCCTTTATGTACACTATTTCCTCCTAGCATACCCCAGAAGGAAACAGCTAGCCCCAAATTCTTAACAAAAATAACCTTCTGATGAGGTAACCACATCTAAAATGAGCATTTAAGTCTGTCTGACTTCCTTCTTCTGAATGTGGGGCCAAGAGATAGTACAGTGAGTGGGGTTATGCAGGCTGGGGCCAAATGTTAGGCAAGTTCTTCAAAGGTGGGGGCTGTAAGAGATTGGAAGGGTAAAGAGAGCAGCTGAACTTTTCTAAAGAAGTCAATAAGAAGCTGAAGTTAACCATAAAGATCATGAAAGCTAAAAGAATCAAAAAAGCTACCATATCAAGCTACAGATATAAGAAATGAAAAAGGAAGTGAACAAGCCAGATGAAATTTTCTAGAGTAAATGTTACTCCTACCTCTGGCTTAAATTTGTTTTATGAGCTATAGATGAAGCAAAGACTATTCAAGGACGTTTATGCACACATCTTTGGTGAGAAGCTGTCCTAGAATTGGAGTGTCAAAGGTTATCTATTCTCTCCCACCAATAGACATTACGTGAGAGAACAATTTTGAAATGCAGTATATAACTCCAAACCAAGTCACTTGGGGCATTAAAAACAGAAAATTGGAGAGAAGGGATTTGCAGCTATGATTTGCTAACCTAATTTCATGTTTAAAAAAAGACACATAAGTACTAAACACTAATGGACTTAATAACCTTATTAAACCTATTATTCAAAAATTCAAAAAGACATAATTGCAAGTGATTAGCCACCTTATAATTATACTTTGCAAAACAATTAGCCAGAGAGTTGGTCATTTGAATTTGGGTGAGGCTGATTGGAATAGTTTATAGCAGGGGATTTCCAAGCGTGACCCATGGACCTCTAGGGCCATTTCTGGGGGTCCACAAAGCAAAAATTATTTTGACAGCAATATTAAAAACAAAATTTGCCTTTTGCACTGTGGAATCATTTGCACAAAACAATAATAGGTGAAACTGCTGATATCTGAGCATGAATCAGCACAGTAATTCATGGAAGAGGTCTTTATATCCACACACTCCTGGTTTAAAATAGAGGGATATATTCCCTTAAAAGTGATGATAGGTGTGGTGTGGTAAAGTCCTATGTGGTGATAGGTGTGGTGTGGTAACATCCATCTGAAAGGTTGTGATCCTATACTTCTGAATTATACTATGTTGTAAACTAATATTACTTCAATTAAGTATATTGAGTTTCATGGAACTCCATCTTTATTGAAAAACACTATGAAGCAGGGGCCTCCCTAGTGATGCAAGGGGTTAAGAAACAGAACTATGAAGCTATCCACAGCCACAGCCAGTGCAGCACGAGTTTGATTCCCCGCCAGGGAGCTGACCCACATGGTGCAGCATACCTCTCCTGCCCCATCCCCTGCTCCCCTCAGCAGTGTATTTCAGTACACCTGCCTGTTCTGCTCCCCGCTCTGTCTCTGGTAAATCCTTTCACCCACCACATCTCTAGCCTGCACCCCAGCTCTTGAATGCATAAATAAATAAATCTTTTTTAAAAAAATAAAGAAAAACACTATAAAACAAACTAAGATTACTCAAACTTGGATATATGGCAGATGTGTTGTCTAAACCAAATGAAATAAGCCTGATGCTTTTAGGAAAACAACTGAGAATATTGGTTGCTTATAAATTTTAAGCTTTCAAAGAAAATTCTGAATTTTAGAAAACTTGTATTTTCTACTATGAACTTGACTGCTTCCTAGTACTTGAAGACTTTTCTGTTGAGATACATGGTGTTAGCAGCAAATATGATTTTTCAACATTATATCATAAAATGCATCAACATTTTGGGATATCTGTGTAACTCAGTGAACCAATATTTTCTAAATGACCGATGGGTAATATATTAAATCATGCCTGGGGAGAAGATCCATTCAAAGTGCCAAATAGACCAATGAATTTTAATGTAACATGGTGCAAATAGTTCATTGATAGAATTTCAAATTCCATTTTATAGCTAATCATCTTTAAGAAACTACCACTTGTCAAGTCTAGCTGTAGAATCAAAGAAGGCCATCCATAGTTATCTAAAAAGCATATTAAAATGCTACTCCCTTTTCAAATTATATGTGTAAGGCCAGAATTCCTTCATATTTTCCCACTAAATAAATATCAAAAAAGACTGAAATATCAAAGCAAATATCAAAAAACAGATAGGAGAATCCAGTTGTCTTTTATTAAGCCAGACACTTAAGATATCTGCAGAAATGTAAAACAATGACATCCTTCCCACTAATTGGAGGTAAAGGCATTGGAAAATATTTTTTCCAGAAAAAAAATGTTGTTTTTGTTAACTTGCAATGATTTTATTGTGATAATTTAAAATGAATTAATAATTAAATGTTCTTTCAAATTTCTAATGCACAAATATGATAGTTATAACTTACATAAACAAGCACTTTCTGGGTTCCTCAATAATTTTTAAAATGTAACACATCATGAAAGCAAAAAAAAAAAAGAGAATCATCATTCCAGAACGTGAGTGTAAAAAAGAAATGCGGTTGATAACAGAGGCCAAGGGGTGTCAACATTTAAAGATGTGGGAAGAGAAAACTGAGAAGGAGCTGTCCTAAAAGTAGAAAGAAAACTGAAATGGTTTAGAGGAGAGTGAGTTAAGAAAGTGTTTCCAATGGAAAAGGGTCATCAGAGAAGGACATTAGAGGCAGAAGAAGAGAACTGGAAAAGACATCTGGGTGCTGAAGACAGACACTGAGAGGACTTTGGAAATGCTTCAGGGGGCAGAGATGGGAGCATGGTTGGAGAGAACAGGGTTAGAAGGTATGAAGGAAATACACGTGAGTATGAGCAACTCCTTTAAAAAAAATTACTATTAAAGGGAGAAGAGAAGTGGATGATAGCTGGTGGGGAGTGAAAGATCTGGAAGATACTTTTAGATTAGAAATCCCACAGCATGTGTAATGATAAGAATAGTAAGAGGAAGACAGGTGGATGAAGAAGGGAGAAGTCCAAGAAAAGCAAGGAGGGATGGACTTGGGGACACTGCCCTTGGGCAAGAAGAACCTTCGGCAGACACTGTGGCACCACACAAGCAATCTTCCTGTCATATGACCAACTTCCCCATCTGATCTCCCCTGGGTCCAATTTATTTTTAATTTTTTAAATTCATTTACTCATAAGTATATGTTCTTTTTTACAAAAAAAAATTGAGGTAAATAAAATAAAAAAAAACCCTCCCCCTTGTTATCAATCCATTGCGATTTCATTCAGACCCTTTACATGCATATATTTGTACAAAAGGAAATACTTCATTGGGATTTTCTCCTAAATGACATCATACTATCATTGTCAAATTAATGTTTCACCTTATAATGTTTTTTGAAGTAAATTCTATTCTTGTTCAATTCTAAATGACAGTTCATGAGATGTCTGTTTTATTCTCCCATTGATAGTCAACTTATTTCCAATTCTTCTACTTCAATAATTCTAATAATGTATTGTCTCTCTATGAATACATGTGAGGATTTCTTTAGAAAAAAAATGCTGGATCACAACATATATATATTCAATTTTATAATCCCTCCCAAAAGATTCGGCCAATTTATAGTTCCACAAATAGTATATGAAAGCAATTGTTTCTCACACCCCAGCCAATACTGAATATTGCCAACCTTCTTAATTTTTTCAAATCTAAAAAATATTTTTGTTTCTCTAGCATTCTGATAGTAAGTCTGAGCATATTTTCATAAACATTTACCCTCTTCTTTTCCTGTCTAGTTAATACTTCTCAGGCTTCCACTCCAGCCACTTGGAGGGTAGTTCTTTTAGACAACTCTTTCATGCTAACCTCCATCTCAAGTGCAGAAGTCAGGCTTGACTTTGGACTGTAGCCCTACCTCAGTACATTATGGAGCACCATAGTGATAGGTACTCAATAAAAGAACAACTGAGTAAGTTCATAATGACATCACTTTACATTTGCAGAGCACTTTGCAATGTGCAAACTTCTTTCCATTGCATTTTATCATATTGCCTAAATCAAATCAGATTTGCAGGATTCACAGTTCAGGGAAAATGCTAGGAACAATGGAAGACGAGCATAAAAAGCAGGAATTGAATCTCCAGCTGCATGGCGTGATGCATGTAAAATCAGTGTAATGTAAACCTATGAAAAAATTTATTAAAATTTTAAAATAACCACACAACAAATTTGAGAAAAAATAAATTAAAACTATCACTTAGTAGCCAGGTAGAAAGAATAAAGTAAAGGCAGATATGCTAACAAGTGAATTTATTTAGACAACTCTTCTAAATAATAGATCAACAACTCTTCTTTAGTAATAGATCATCAAGACTTGATGTGAATTTTTATCCAGAATAATATAATTTTGCTGCCTATATTGATTAAAGTTAATAAACAACCTCTGAATTTATCTAGTAAAATTCATGTAATGAACTGAATCTCCGATTTCAGACCATCTCAATGCTCAAACTACAAATCACATAGAAAGTTCAATATTCTTCAAAAACTGTTCCATGAAACAGTACTTCTATAAGATGTTAAAGGAAATTGCACACATTTAAAAAAAAATTCCTGGGTCAAATAAGTTTTGGAAATTCTGGTTTAAATAAAAGGAAGCAAGTTTATTTAGTGTAAAACTTATCACAATCTTTAATAAGCCAAAAGGCTTTGTATATCTCCAAGACTTAATAGGAAACATTTCCTTAACTTATTTGACCACAGAACTATGCATAATCTCTGTGTGCGTGTGTGTGAGTGTGTGTGTGTGTTTTGAGAAAGACACATCTCAAGAAACTACTGCCTCATAGAGCATCCTTTGAGAAATGCTGATTAGATTATTAAAATAACATTCTGTGTTACAACATCTTTTCAATTTTATGAGTATTCACAGATTTAAATTTCTCAATTTTATCACAGTTTAATTTTTACCCTGATACTGTTACCTAGAATCAAATCTGGGGCTGGAACAGCCAGGATGGAGAGAGTTATGACTGCTACAAGTTTAGAGAACAGCAGAGGAAAGAATATTAGTGGGAGGTTAACTTAACAGGTAAGAAGCCTTGTCTGAGTGCTTTAGCTCATGAATTATTGAACACTGTGGCCAGGAAATTTATTTCCCTATGCTATTTTGCTGCTCAAAATTCAAAATCTATCATGCTGTCTTGCTAATCTTTTCATGTCTGAACTCCTAGGACCTCCTCTACAGTCATCCTCACCCCTACTTACACCGCTGCATAATTAGTGCATTGCTAGGCTCTCTGAATACACAAAGAGTCATATTCTGCATGTTTATCTCCCTCTGAAACTGAAATCTCGGTTGTTCTGTAATGCAGTGAATTTGGGGTTGCTCAGCGCTCTGAGATGTGGCTAGTATCAAAGGACTAGAAAGAATGTTAAAAGTTCTTTAATCCATCTCCCTGGCCCCATGCTGGCCTGACCTCATTCACATCAGAAAGAAATCTATCCTTTTATTTTTTGACCTCCTAGCAACAGGGTCCGTGAATAAAGCCTGTCTAGTCTCTAAGTTATCCAATTTTATCCTTATCCACAACCCTGTCCTGCCCTTTCATATCAAATGTTACCATTTATTTCTTACCAACCTTGCTACCAGCCTTCCAAACCCCCAGTTTTTTCTTTTCTTTTTTTTGGAAAATTACTTCCTAAGATTCAACTTAATAGGGTTTGAGAATTTATACCCACTATCACTGTCTCTGGAGAGAATCAGAAATAGCCTGGGAAACTTCACTAGGACCTGAAATCATTGTTGCTTGACTAATATCACGCTTGGTTCATCCCCAAAATTTCTAACTCACCAAGCCTTTTGGGAAATTTTGTGGGCTGTGCTTTATGTCATCATAGGAGGCACAATTTTTTTTTCAGTTTAAAATCAACCTTTTAATTTTGTTGACATTATTCTTGAGGTGCATTCTTGATTGCACTCTTCGGTTTGTATTGGTTTTCTTTCAGTCGGTGTGAAATGGAACCGAGGATCTAGGATAAAATGGTTTTTGCTTACACTTGCCCATATTGGGAAAAGCAACTAGCCGTCATTCTGTGTGAGAGTTACCTATTTCGTTTTCTGTGAATTTTTTAACCTTTAAAATATATTTCTTAAATGTCTTTATGTGAGCCAGAGGAGAAAGACAAATGCCAGATGATATTGCTGCAATGTGGAATATAGAGAAACAAAGCAAAATCAGACAAAACCAAACCAAAATCAAATCCTAGAAATACGACTGTAAAACTGACCCTACCTGTGGGGACCAGGGGAAGTGGAAGGCAAAGAAAGGTACACAATGGGCTATGGTGCAGACTATGGTGCCTTGGTGGTGAGTGTAATGTGGTAACATACATCTGAAGGCATAGGATCCTATATTTCTGAATCGTGTATAGTTTTATAAACCAATGTTACCTGAATTTAAAAAACTACTAGGGGTCTCCCCAGGGCACAGCAGGTTGAGTGCAGTGCTGTGAAGCTGTGTGCAGCCTCTGCAGTGTGGGTTCAATTCCTGGCCGGTCAGGGAGATTCCACATGGCCCAGCAGACCTCTCCTGCCACACCTGCAGCTCCCCTCAGCGGTATATTTCTGTCATCTGCCTGTTCTGCTCCCTGCTCTGTCTCTGATGAATCCTCTCACCCTCCTGTGCCTCTGACTGTACCCCAGTTCCTGTATAAATAAATAAATCTAAAATTAAAAAAAGAAAAGAAAACAAACCAATCAAAAAAATGAGCAGAAGATCTAGAGACACTTCTCCAAAGAAGACAGACAAATTGCCCACAGGAAAATGAAAAAAAAAAACTCACCATCATTTATCACCACAATGAGATACCAACACATCCTTGTGAGAATGGCACAATCAGAAAAACCATAAACAAGTGTTGGCAAGGGTGTGGAGAAAAAGGAACCCTTGTGCGGTGTTGGTGGGAATATAGACTGGTGCAGGCCCTACAGAGAATAGTATGGAAGTTTCTCAGAACATTTAAAATAGATCTACCATATGACCCAGCAATCTCTCTCTAAGATGTGTGTCAGAGGAATGCAAACACACTAATTTGAAAGGGCATATGAACTCCTATGTTCATTGAGGCACTGTAAACAATAACTAAGTTATGGGGGACAAAAACAAAATATTCAATGACAGGCAAGTGAATTAAGAAGATGTGGTTATGCATGTAATGGACCACACTCATCTATAAAAATGATCCTGCCAATTGCAACAACATGGATGGAGCTGGAGGCAATTATGCTGAGAAAAATTAATCAGAAGGGGGAAGACAAATACTAGTTGATTTATCTCATGTGTCAAGTATATAGAAATAAAGCCCAAGGACAGACGAAAACAAACCTTTGAAACCTTACCATAGAATTGAGGCTACCAGAAAGGAAGGTGGGTTGGCACAAAATGGGAATGGGGTTCATGGACTGTGGCAGAGAATTATTGGTGTTTTGGTGGTAAGCTGGTATGATAATATACATTTGTAGAGGTATAAACCTATACATCTAAAATATGCAGGGTATTGCAAATATATGTTACCTCAATAAATGTAATTTTTTAAAAGTAAATCAATAGGCTCCAAGAGAGATTCCCACAAGACAAAATTACTAAATTGTATGCTATATGGGAGCATTTTGAAAGGATGTCAAAAAATTGTAAAGGATTTGGGGGTGAATTGATGGAAAATGTTTAGAAAATTAAGCATAGAGATAAAAGGCAGCTATTAACTCCAGGGAAGTAAAAGAGTTGTGAAGCAAAACAAAAGCAACCCTAGTTTTTTTGATTTGTGAATAACTAAATCCTCCTCTCAACAGTGGGAAATGCGTAGATAATGAAAAAGACTAAAAAGTATGTTATTTAGGAATAAAATACTGACTCAGGTAATTAAGGTTGAAATTTGTTGCCTCTGGTAATGTAAAAATGGGCAGGGAAGAAGAGTTTGGAATTGTTGATTATCACCACAAGTCTTATAGATAAAAATGCTTAACTTTGGAAATATCAGGCTCACAGCTCAAGTTCAATTTTCACTGAAGCTTGCTCTGACAACTTAATCCTGGTCACCCTGCCTCCCTTTTTTTTTTTTATTAGCATTTTTTATTTAAATTATCTTAAAAATTATCTTAACATTGTTCTATGTTATTAAGTGAATTAAGACAAGCATTGAAAATGTCTCAACATTTCCTTGATGCCTTTTCTTTTTTTTTTTCATTTTTTATAATAAATTTTATTTTTATATTCCCCATATAATTGCAACCCCCCCATTCTGACCCCAATCCCTCCCCTCCCACCCTCCACCCCCCAAAAAGTGTCTCTGGTTCATAGTTTTTTGTTGATTTTGATTTTCACTTTCTTATAGTTATTCATTTTCCTGGTCCCTTATTTAAGTTTTCTAGATTCCTGCTATGAGTGAGACCATCCGGTATTTTTCTTTTTCTTTTTGGCTTATTTCACTGAGCATGGTCCCTTCCAGTGCCATCCATGTTGCTGCAAATTGCATGTGTTTATCTTTTTTGAATGCTGAGTAATATTCCATGGTATATATGTACCACATCTTCTTGATCCAGTCATCTATTTTTGGGCATTTGGGCTGTTTCCAAAGCTTAGCTATTGTAAACAGTGCTGCTATAAACATAGGGGTGCAGGTGCTCTTTGGAATTGATGTTTCTGTGTCCTTTGGGTAAATACCTAGGAGTGGAATTGCTGGATCATATGGAAGCTCTATGTTTAGTAGGTCAAGAAATCTCCACACAGCTCTCCATAGTGGTTGGAACAGTTTGCACTCCCACCAGTAGTGCAGGAGAGTTCCTTTTTCTCCACAACCTCGCCAACATTTGTTGTTGCTAGTTTTTTTAATATGTGCCATTCTCACTGGTGTAAGATGGTATCT